GGGGCCCCACGCCGCGCCCCTCCCGGCTTGCCCCTCGCCCCGCCGCGGCTCCATGCTCTGCCGCTGCGGCTCTGCGCCAGTGCCAGCACCACTGCAGGCCAGATAAAATGGCTTGGTGGGCCGCAAGTTGGACAAGCCTGTCCTATGCCATAAATTAAATGGGCACTAAATGGCAGCATAAATTGATACCACCTTTGTTGCAGCCACAAGTTTTGGGCATTTGTGGTGTGACAAAGGGGTATGGTCTATTTGCTTGGCCTTTTTGTACTGCCATGAAAATGTTTATAGCAGCACAAAGATAACAAAAGGCAACATCTGTTTTCCCCCTAAGTAAACTCTTACTCGCTCTTTCTCAACTCTAGATGCTAATCTCCTCCCTAGGCTGCTTGTCTTACTGCAAACTGGCTGTCATATGGTAGCTGATGTTATTTGTGACCTTTTAGCCCTCTCTGCATCATCAATTATTAGATTATCTTCTGCATTTATAAGGGACGTACGCTTTCCTTGGTCTTCCTCCTGTTTGTGATATACTTCTATAATGCTTTTCTTTTGTCCTTTTTATGTACCTTGCTAGCTGCATCTCAATGTATGCCTTGGCTTTCCTAATTTTCTCCCTGAATGCCCACGTCCTTAAAAGCCAGAATACTAGGGATCAGTATAATAGTCTGCGGGGCAAAGTTTCCACTTTTTGCAAGCGTAACAGAGCACCTTTGGTACCTGCCACTTTAAGGGCTGAGAGCAGGTGGCAGGTACAGGCCAGCCCTGATGGGGCAGTCACATGACCACTGGAGATCCATATGATTGGAGGATAGGGCAGAGTGGCCTCCATTTTAGCTCAGGCTCTCAGGACTGAGTTACCAGTCTGCTGCTGGCAGCTGGAAGAACACCAACTGGCTGAGCTGCTGCTAAGAACATCCTTGGAGATAAGGGCAGGAGCTATGGAGATGGCAGGAGGCTCCTGGTCCTGGATATGAGAACTTGGGTGAGTTGCCCAGTGAGGGGCTGTGGGCAGAGTTCAGTCCAGTGTGAGGCATAAGGTCAGCGTTGTGTAGAGTAGGGTTGGCTGAGACACCCAAAGGGCTGCATGGGGACTGGCTAGAGTGGAAGTAGGTAAGCCTGATGGCCCGAGTGGGCTGCTCATGGAGCAGGATATGTTGAGAGCAGTCCAATGAGGGGCAGAGTGAATGAAGCCCTGTGAAAGAGGGTGGAGCACAAGAGCAGAATGCTAGAGGTCCAACAAAGAGCAGAGTTTGTCTCGGCTTTAGGCCCGAGTTATAAACGACTTACAGTGCCATCTGCAAGACGTGGGGCACAGT